ATTGCTTAATTATTACAAAAATAAAAATTTTTTGTTCTTATTATACAGCTGTCCATTTATTTCTTTTATTTAATTTCGATTTTGCTACTGAAAATTCATATAATTTACAGTCTTTTTGCTAGTATAATTTGCAACATAGCAACTCCGGTTGCTCATTTTATGGTTTTTACCTATTTTTTTAATAAAAAGTAAAATGTATACGTGTATTTGATATGCCAAAATTACAAAATATCGCCCTAAAATTCTCGAATTATTCGCAGCTTGCGCTAGTATCGCTTTTACTTCCCCTACCATGACTTCGCACTGATCGAATAGACCGCAGCCATGTTTTAACATGCCTAAGTGTTCCAAACGTTCTTTCGATTAACTCTGTCGTTGGTGGAAGAGCCATAAATATTTTTTAAACCATTTTGTATGTCTAAATAAAATTCACAATATTTGGACGGAGAGCTCATTGTGTGCAGAAAGCTCTTTCGTATTCCAGTTTAGTATTCAGCTTCAAAATTGTCGATTCCAAATTTTTCATTTTGTTATCGGTAGTGAAAAAAATATTTTTTATGTTTTTGGGATGTACGTGCTTAAGGAAAAACTAACAAAGTCTTTGGAAAAGCGGAACCCAGATATGCAATAAATATATTCAACCTATAATATTCTTCAACTATATTAGCCTGAATATTATTTCTATGAGATTGTTGTTCGTAATGCATAATATCTTATGCGTTGTTGATTAAGCCGTAAAAGCCAGGGGGGGGCAAATGCCCCCCTTGCCCCCCCCCCCAAACGACGCCCATGTGTATGTTCAGTCATTATTAGAATCTCCCATTCAATACGAGTTCAACCATATGTAACACTTATGATTTTATGTAGTATGGAAGGTCTTAAATAAATAAAACAATCATGGAGAAATGTGGTAAATGCACTCCATCATCGATTAGAGTACTGTCAACTCACAAATGAAGCACATTTTAAACACTTGATAAAGTAACCATTATGTTAAAAATGGTGTAATCTTTCAATTGTTACGTTTTAATGTAGTTGAAAATAGTTTGTATTAAAAAATTTATGAGACAATTAGGCGTTGCCAGACTTCTGTTTTATTTATTTAAGACCTTCTAGACTACATAAAATCATAGGTGTTACATATAGTTGAACTCATATTGAATAGGAGATTCCAATAATGACTTAATATACAGTGTGATTAATTTGAAAAATTAAAGTGACTAATAATTTAAGAGAAACGGCAAATCTGGCAACATTGCAAATATTAAATCTGGAATCTCCGTATCCCCTAATAGGTGTACCCCAAATTTTGTACAATTAGGACTAGCAATTTACGAGATAATTGGCCGTTTCCAGACTTTTGGGCCACTCTGTATAATGGTGTATCGTCTAGCGTAGAGCAATTTGGACGAGGAGTAGCCCAAGGTTCAATCCTATTTCCTCTTTTTTATACAATATATACAAACAATTTGTATTCGGTTTCACAATATTGCAATGCTCATATGTATGCTGACGATACGCAGTTATATATGTTTTTTAACAAAAACGATGAATCAGAGTGCATTCAGAAAATAAATACTGATCTAAATGCCTTGGTAAAAGTATCTACCCAACATAATTTGGTGATTAATTTAGACAACTCAGTTGTTATGTTTTTTGGATCTGCTTCTTCTAACGTGTCTATAAAAATTAACGATGTGGCTCTACCAACTGTTCAAAAAGCAAAAAATTTGGGGATAATGCTAGACAATCGACTGAAATTCACAGATCATGTTTCTTATGTTCTACAAAGATCCTTTTTTAAATTAAAAACTTTATATCATAGCAGACATTTATTTGACAAAAAACTAAAGATACAACTCTGTGAATCTCTCGTTCTAAGGAATGCAAATTATTGTGATATTGTATATGGACCTTGTCTTTCAGTAACAGATTCAAATAGGTTACAAAAACTACAAAATGCCGGCCTTCGACTTATATATGGAATTAAAAAATTTGATAGAATTTCCCATACACTAGCAAATGCCAGATGGTAAAATATGTTAAATAGAAGAAAACTTCATTCATTAACCCTGTTTCACAAAATTTTAATCAAAAAAAGTCCTCCACATTGTGTAATACCAGACAAGGATTTTCTTCTGTTGAACTACTTTGTCCATGAAAATGTAGTAAAGAAATATAAGTATCTTTAGTAACATCATCCATCAATCGGTCGAAAACCTTTGTCACTTCGACCACATTTTTCTACTCATAATGCTCATTTTAAACATGTTTTAATATATATTTTGCCAAATGATTTGATAGTTTTTTTACGATATTGCAGACAAGTCTTTTTATAAAATAATAATTTATACCGTGTGTCACTTTTACATACTCATAACAATACCGTTTAGTTGTTCCTTTCCGTAAAGATAATATAATTGATGGCAAAAAGATTTTTCAATTAAGACACTTTATACTTTACTTTTTTTTATCCCATTTTTTAAACGTATACATTTAAAATTAATATTTATCGATTATAATTTTTTTCACGTGGACAATTTAACATGCTTGTTTACAAAAAACAGTACAAAAAAGATGGCTGATACTGACGCATGCGCACAAAAAAAATTGTGATAAAAAGGCCTATTTCCTCTTTATTCTATCTTTATTGTGTCCGTCAGTCGAAGTCCGTCCATCTGTCATATCACAAAATAGTATTTATATCGTCTCTACTTTATTCTATCTCGATGATTAGATTAGATATAAAAGGTTATTAGGCTCATATTAGTCTTCATAGCTCGTATATAGGTTCTCTATTGTAATAGGTTTGTTCGTAGAGCGAACCACAACCGTTTCCAACTGAACAGCGCATGCGCATTGACTATTTTGCGTTCGTAGAAGAATCACTGATGAGGCGCACACACATACTTTGATTTTCTTTTACTATACGGAGAATGGTCGCACTGCGCAGCTTTCTGAGTGCCTTTTAAAAGGAGATAACTCCGCCATTTTGATCCCTTATTACGTGTTGCCTACATCTTTGCGCAATATTTTTAATAGGTGCGTTAATCATCTGCTTCTACTTCGGGATTGTCGGTTTTCTTGTTTTAATCTGACAGGTTAAAACGAGTAAACCGACAATTCCGGAAGCAAAGTGGATGATTAAAACGCACCTGATATTTTGCTTGCTGCTGTCAGTGTCAGTGAATATTATTTTTGGAGTCACAGTTTATTGCTAAAGAATCAGTTAGCTCACTCGGACCAGTTGAAAGTTCCAAAATAACATCCACTCCAGGGATACAAATTCAGGTTACGCAGAAGACTGCTGTTTTATTATAGGCGGTTGTCATATATTGTATTATCCGAGTTGCGCAGTGTATAAACTGGAACATTGAGATCAAAAGTGCCGACGCAGAGTGAGCGATCTGATTCTTACAATAATTAAAATCAACAGTATTTTCTGTGCTTTAGTTAGCAATAAACAATTTGATTTTGTAAAATCCCTGACTAAATATTTTCATTTAAACCGTGTCTTAGTATGCCCTCAGCCTTATTTAGCTTTAATTAAAAAATAATTAGCCCTACCCATCAAATTTCAACACTTATTATCAATAATTGGCATTTTACTTAAATAGTAAATAATTTATCAATTAAAATATGTAAGACTTATTTAGAAATAAATACAACAGTATGTTCTGTGCTTTATTTAGCTATAAACAAGTTTATTTTTATTATTTTGACAAAATTATGTATAATTCCCATAAGAAGCCATGCATTTTGAACTACGTAAACCGTATCAGCGCCCATGCGGTTAATTATATATATATATATATATATATATATATATATAAAAAAAGGAGATAGTTTTTTCGACCGGAAAATATTTATAAGTGAAGATAATATCAGGTTTGCGGTCCTAAGAAATAAAACTCTTTTCCTTACTTGCTCAATATTTCGCCATTGTTTAATAGCTTCATCAGGAGCGAACTACAAGATTTTTAAATGAAACAATATACTAAAAATAATTTAAAATTACTACTTACAGGATTTGAGTCAATCGAATAAAATTTTAAATAAAAACAACATTACACTTAAACAACTTTTGGACAGTGGACACTTTAAAAATTTAACAAGTTGATAAAATTAAAAATAAAAAGTGTAGACTAGAAATAATTATGGTGAGATAAAACTAAATGATTTTTATATTGTACAGAGTGATACTTAAATTTTATTTAGAATATTACAATAAATGTTGCTTAGTTGGTTTGTGTCAGATTTATAATTAATAGTATTTTTAGTTTTATTAATGTAGTACATTTCCAGAAATAACCTATTCTTGTATTTGTTTTCTTTTCCTAAAATTTTTATCTCCGAGTAGTCAAACTCATGTCCCGTATTTATATGGTGTTCCACCGCCGCACATGTATTTTTTCTGGTACGGCAATCGCTTTTGTGTTGAGTGACTCTTGGTTGAGATATATATATATATATATATATATATATATATATATATATATATATATATATATATATATATATATATATATATATATATATATATATATATATATATATATATATATATATATATATAGTTATTCTGTTACACATACAACATACATAAAAGAGCAAACTTCAAATATAATTTTTGTTTTTGTCCGTTTACTAAAGCTGTATCTAACTCACGAGAATAGGTTAAGAAAAATCAAACACCGTACAAAATGCGTTCGCGGAGCATAAAAATGACAATAAATCCCAAACCGTTGGAAATCGCGTATGCGCCTCATAAAATAATCACCAACCGTTGGAAACTGTCTCTACGAGCAAACCTAATACATTTACTCATAGAAGTAGAATGCGTTTTTTTAAACACGATCAAACTTTAAAAGTGTGTCGAATATTTTTGCAGGTACACGCCAAAATCGGCAAAATGGTCTATATTAACGACAGTCTAAAATTTTACTTTCATCTACAGGTATTGACCAAAATATATTTGAACCTAATTTTTTTCAATTCTCTTATCTTTCATTTTTGATTGCGTCTGCTTTCTTTTCTAGTCTCTTACAATAAATATAATAACACTTAATAAATATAAAAATAATAACGACATAACCTTTCCATTTGGGCCTCGCATGGAATGTACGTAAGCGGGATATAGGTAAATTAAAAACAGTACTTTTACTAATAATATTTGGAATCAATTACAATATCAACTCCATTCACCACAATATACAGTCAACCACGCCCCACATTTTCTTTCTCAGCAAATAAATAAAGGTCACATTAATGAAGGTGTGTTAATAACCTTTCTTGTGGCAAAAAGTGCTTGTTCCAAAACAAGCAGTACTTGCATCCGATGTGTCTAAAGTTCCTCGCTCAACAGCTACATACAAACTTTAGTGCGACCAAATAGTTTCAACTTGTTCATACGCGTATACAATAATAATTCATAATATGCAACTGTACTCCAAAATATTATGTTCGTTATATTTTGTAGTAAAGTTCTTCCTCTACCACATTGTGGCCTATTTTCTCAGTCCAATCTTTCTCGTATAAACCTCCTAGACTGCTCTTTCTTTCGCCAAGGGTGTCTACATAAGTTTAACATTATTATACATCAAATCAAAAACTTTTTAAATGTTTAAATTTGTCAACATGTCCTCATCTAGCCTCGTGACGTTGTATAAGCCTCTTGTTTTTTTTTTAATAATCCAACTTAAAATAAGAATAAAAGAAGAATAACTATAACCTCTTGTATTTTAGTTTATCAACGTGTGTGTTAGTGTACACTGTCCAAAAATGAAATTAAAAAAGTAAGTAGGAGTAGGAGAGTATTTTCAATTTATTTTATAATTAATTCTTTGCTTCATTTTTACAGTTTTGTGAAGAATATATCAAAATTTAACAATTTCTTAATTAAGTTACTCAGTTATTATTACACTAAATTTTAAAAAAACTTTATATTGCTAAAGAAAGAATTACTATCCCTTTCAAATAATATATCACATGATCCCCTTTATTATTTAAAATTTTCGAAAGGGGTAATATTTGTATACTATAAATTGTCAAATTAAGAATAGAAATCGACTTGTTTTATCCTCAAAGTACATAATAAAGTTAAAATTGAATTAATTCCATATACAGGGTGTCCCAAATAAGAGTGATCGATTTTAAATGTAAATGCACAGCTTATTAATTGCTCTACAGAGATGGGGTTTTCAATAATTGATTTCGTTTATCCAACATTTTTTTTTCAAGTTTGTTCACATTTTATCACATCAATACACACATTCATTAATGTTGGTCAACTTGAACTAATTGTGGATAAAAAAACTGTTCCAACATATCCGTGTAATTTGTACCTGTCACAGTTGGTTCCGTAAAGAAAAAAGGACCATAGATTTTTCTAGGAAACAAACCCACACCAAACGTTAACTTTTGGACTATCTCTTTCAAATTCATTAAAAGAAGTGGGGTTTTCAGAACCCCATATTCTGCAATTTGGTTTGTTACACATTCCACTAATATAAAAGGTTGCTTCATCAGACATGATTAATAACGTATTAGGTTCATTCCTGAATAAATCTAGTAAAGTCTCGCATACCCTTAGTCGTTTTTCATAATCTGACGGGTACAATTTTTGGTATGTCTGAATTTTATATGGAGTCAGTTTTAAAATTTGCACGTCACTTTTGGAAATGTCTAAAATTCCAGCAATCTTTCTAATCGAAATTCTGTAACTGTTAGCTTGCAGCACTTCATTAATAGACAACAACTTTTCAAAAAGAGCATCAGCGTTTCTTGGTTTTTTTAGGTGCGCAATGCAACCAGTTTCGCTAAATTTTAAATGCCACTTTTTAATAATATTCACAGAAGGGGGATTTTTACCAAATTTTCTTCTGAATATTTTCCTTGTTCGAGAGATAGATTTAGTTTCTGCATAAATTAACACAGTTTGAGCTTTTTCAGTTACTGAATAAATCATTTTGTAAGTGAGAGTAAATTAAATTATTTCTGTTTTTATGAATTGTCAAATTTGTTGATTTTGTTGTCAACTTGTCATAGCAAGAGTTGATTTATTTTACTATGTATCAAATTAGGTTCAAATAAATCTGCCTACGAGTGTTTTATTCTCCTATTAAATAGACAGATGTATGTACTTTTAATGAATTTGAAAGAGATAGAACAAATGTTAATGTTCGGTTAATTTTGTGTGTGTTAAATTTCAATTACGCATGTGTATTGAAGAGGAGGGTATACATAGGCACATACAGCATTTGTTGTATCTTCTACATCCTCCATTATTAATAATTGTTTCGTAATCTATATTAAATTTTTGTTATGTTTTGTTACTGAACAAATTCTGTTTGTTAATTTTATTTAATGTCAGTTTTTAAATAAAGAAACCAGCAGTGTTACTTAAAAACTCGAAAATCTGATGTGTTGTTAAGAAAATAAAAGATATCAAACTATACATTTTTAAAAAGTAGATGAATCTCTTTTAAATGCCATCAAAATATACAGGGTGTTCCATTTAAAATAATACATATTTTTTCCATTCAAGTTGACCAACATTAGTGGATCACCCTGTATTGATGTGATAAAATGTGAACAAATTTGAAAAAAACTTTTGGATAAACGAAAGTAATTAGTGAAAACCCCATCTCTTTAGAGCAATTAATAAGCTGTGCATTTACATTTAAAATCGATCACTCTTATTTGGGACACCCTGGATTTGCATCTCATAGTATGTAGATATAGGTAGATATTAGTTTAGCTAAAAATTTCGTACGCTTTTTCATAATTATCTTATTTTGTAAATAGAGCTACTAATTAAAAAATATATAATGTATTTTGTTACGTATCACGGATGTTTTCCCAAAATGTGGAAATCCTTTTTTTTATGCCATGAGATCTGCCTCTCATTTAACTATTCAGTAGCTAAAATGTAAGGTTGCCAGGTTTTGACACCTACGTCATTAATTTTAATATCTCCTTTAAAACAGTAATACAAGGTCTTTGAATTTATTTTTTGTTAAATTATACGGTGCTATGATAAATTATGCAATATATTAATTACGGATCATAAATGTAATGTTTCTATAAAAAGTTCTTAAATTATTTTTATTTTTTCGGTACAATTTACCTATGATATGGAGCAGGTTAATATACTCTTCATACAGTAGTCTGTGAATAGTATTATGCATTTGCTTCATCCGTCCGTCTGCGTCTCTGCGTCGGTCCGATGTCACCTTTTTTGTCCACACGATAAGTCAAAAAAGAAAAACGATATATATTTGAAAATTTCAGGAAAAATCAGGCTATATAAGGGGACGAAGTCTATTGATTTTAAAAAAAGTCTGATTAAAAATAGGGAGGTAGAAATAGTAAAAAAATCCTAACTCAAAAACTAAAAATGATGACTTGAAAATATCAGGACAAAATTAAGCTATATAAGGAGACGAAGCCTATTGATTTTCATAAAAAACTGAATAAAAATGGGGGGTTAAGAGGAAGTAGACATGAAAAAAAAAAAAATAAAATCAAAAACGAAAAGTGATATCGACCATGAAATTTTTAGTAAAAGTCAAGCTCTATAAGAAGATGAAGCCTATTGATTTTGAAAAATCTGAATTAATTTTGGGGGTTGACGGGTTGATATATTAAAAAAAGTCATAAATCAAAAATGAAAAGCAGTATCAACATGAAATTGTTAGCAAAAATCAAGCCCTACTAGGAAATGAAGCCCATTGATTCTGAAAAAACCTGAATAAAAACAGATGGGGAGAAATATTTAAAAAAATCCATGCCCTATCCCCCCCTGGAGCCGCCCTTGCTCTGACCACGTTGTCTTTAGTAATGATAACGCCGAGATCATTATGGGACGTAACTGTCTTTAAGGCATTATTATTAATATTATAAACCAATTTAGGAGTATTTTTACCGATATGAAAAACAACACATTTTTCAACGTTTAGCGGTAATAATCAGTCTGAATCCACTTTGATACCGCAATTAGACCAGATTGAAGAGACTGTTAGTCCGCAATCGGATTAGCGTAAATTTTTGTATCGTCTTCGTAGAAGGAGCAACAGCTTTTTATGTGCACAGAAATATCGGCAGTATATAATAGAAAAAGTAGGGTACCAAGGACTGATCCTTGAGGCACTCCACTGACAACAGATTTGGTTTGAAGGAAACTATTATCAACTCGTACGCGAAATTGTCTGAAGGTTAAGAAGTCCGTTACTCAATCTATTAAGTTGCCTCGGAGTCCCAGGTGTTCAATCTTTTTGAGAAATCTGTGCTTTGGAACTCTATAGGAAGACCAGCATCTAAGGCTTTTGTTCAGTTATTGACAGACTGCAGGTGATTAGTTAAGGTAGATCGTCCTCTGATAAATCCATGTTGTTGGGTGGGAAGTACACGTTCGTTTACAAGAAAGTCAGTTACCTTATCACATATTATGGACTCCATTACTTTACAAACTATTGGTAAAGGGCTTATCGGTCTATACTTTTTTGGGTCAAGCTGATGCAGTCTTCCATATAGATGGCAAGATCTAAGAATTAAAGGAGGTCATTATACGGGTAATGGGATAACAGAGAGTATCATCACAAGATTTTAAAAGGAAAGAAGAGATATCATCTAAGCCTGGCGAGGAGTTCGACTTAAGCATTTTAAGTTTGTCTATTATTGTGTCTGGGCCAAACAATACGTTGGAAATAGAGGCCTGTTTTATGTTTAGTGAAATATCCGAAAGTGGTGATGTCAGATCTTCAAGAGTGAAGACATTACAGAAGGTGTTAAAAATAAGTTAAGCAGATTCAGTATTATTGGCACACTTATCACCGTTTTCTTTTTGTAGAAGAGGTACGGACACTTTGGATGTCAGATTTGTTCTAACATATTTATAGAACTTTTTGCTATCAGCACAGTTGGCGATGTACTCTTGATAGTTATACTTTGCTTTAATAACTGAGGCCTTTAGTTGATTGGAGAATAGTCGCTTAAATTTTTTCCATAGGTGTTTTTTATGTTTTACCCTAGTCAGCAGTTGATTATTTATCTAGGGTTTCAGATTTGTTCTATTTATTTTGTTTTTAGTATGAGATTCTACACAATCATTAACCGTATTTTGAAAGATATTCCACATGCAGCTCGGATCATTGTTTTTAGGGATAATATTAATCCAGTCTAGTTGGTCTAGATAGGAAAAAACTTCAGCAAAGTTTGTGAGTGAGAAGAAAGTGTGATTGGATGTGCAAGAAAAAAATGATTGAAATTGTTAACGATACGTTATGACTACATGATCAGATATTCCAACTGATTGGTAACATTCTGCGTGTCAGGTATAGAAGTTATTGGCCATTTAATGTCTGGAAAATTAAAATCAGATTTTCAGAACCACTTAGGACATCGATTTTGTCTAGCAAAGCCGCGTTAGTAGCAACAGCAACGGCTATTGCGATGTTGCAGCTGCAAATAAAGAGAATCAATATGAGGAACTTAGATATCTACGGATGAGAATGTAAAACAATCTAAGATATGTTGAGCTACATATATACATACTCCCCCACTTCGTCTATCAATTCGATCATATCTAAAAATCTGGGAATTAGGAATAGAGATTAAGCTGTCTGGAATATTTATATTGAGCCACGTTTCGGTAATTAAAATCCTGGTGGCAATGACTGGTTTCTGCTCGTTGTTGGAACAAACTTATAGTAATGTTACCAGGTTCATTCAAACGTAACCCTTTATCTACTGCAACAAAATGAAAATATCACCGTCAAAAATACTATAAGAAATAAAGCAAGGAGGTATTTAAAGTGTGTAAATATTGAGTTTTATTTAATAAAACTCTATAAAATAATTCGTCTGAGCGCTTTCGTCCTCTTAAGCCATCATCAAAGACTCTAAAGAGAAAAAAAACAGAGCTGTTACAATACAATAAACTATCATTACTAAAAAATAGAATAAAAAACTTTGTACACTTACTCGTGAAAAGAACTTTAGAAGAAACATGAAAAAAATTAAATTAAATTAATAAGACAGCAAATGACCAGTCCCAAGTCTCCACCATAGCTTGCAGCTTAAATAATTCAAAATCCAAACCGAAATTTGCCAACTGACCCAGTGTAAAATGTGAGGACAGCTGGTTAGTTTTTAACAAAGAAAGTGGAGGTTCATCCCACCATGTAGATACGGAGAACGAGGAACAGCTAATCTTCCACTTGAAGGCAACAAGGGTTAGCCAATCCGTTTTTTCTCTTATAGAGTCTTTGATGATGGCTTAAGAGGCCGAAAGCGCTCAGACGAATTATTTTATAGTTTTATTAAATAAAACTCAATATTTATACACTCTAAATACCTTCTCGCTTCATTTCTTATTACCTAGTGTGCACACACCACTCAACCTCTTCAAAAATACTATAGCTTACTACATTAATATAGTAAATTGTATTAAAAAAAGAAACAAACTTATTACATATGTTAAAAAATTTAAACGAAATATCGGTTGTCCACTACTTCTCATAATTATTGTGTAATCAATGAAATCTAAAAATTTATCGACTCTTGTAAAATATCTCGCACGCTTTGAGGGAGAGCCAAAGCCAAATGACACTATACCATATTGAATGTTATCACATGTCAGAGGTCCTCCAGCATCTCCATAAGAAGTATCCTTCTCAGGAGCAGGCTCTGTACAAAAGAAGGTATCCTTCATATATTTATAGTCCTTTCGACACTCTGCAGTAGACATTACTCTCTTTTCTACGCACATTAATTTTTCGGAAGCTCTTTGTTTAGAGGCAATTGTTCTGCCCCATCCCATGATTGTGCCTTTGTCACATATACTTGAAACATCCCCATCAATAGATCTACTGGGAAGATTTACAAAGTCAGTATATCTACTTGCCTTTATGCTTGTTTGTAAATATAGCAATGCTATGTCATAGTTTTTGGGTTTATCGACATAATTTGGATGCTTGTATATTTCTCGTATTAAATGTACTGGACACGACGAAGGCAGAACACCATTTTTCGTAACGCATTTATCTCTTCTTACCGCTTCACACGCATATCTATACTCATTTCTTGAAAAACAATGTGCGGCTGTTAGCACCCATCTAGAACGAACCAGACTGCCTCCACAACGATTATGGCCCGAATGGTCGAGTATGGCTACCATAAACTTGGTGCTTACATCTGAGTTTTTACTGCATTGGTATCCACCTATAATCCGGGGTTCAACAAGTCGTTTAATTGCTGCTCGAGAAACTTGAGAACAAAAAATATTTATGCGTGCAGTGAATAAGATACAAACAGTCCAAATTGTGTAATTAATTAATATCATTACTTGTAATTTTTGTACTTATTGAATAAGTATGACAATTTAGGGTAATAAATATATGTCAAAATTTAAATCACGGAATCATAGAAATAATAAAATAGTAGAAGAGGACAGTAAACAATGTTTGTGTCGCCTTGATCTCAGATCCACATACTTTGATTTTCTTTTACTATACGGAGAATGGTCGCACTGCGCAGCTTTCTGAGTGCCTTTTAAAAGGAGATAGAAAACTCCGCCATTTTGAACCCTTATTACGTGTTACCTACATCTTGGCGCAATATTTTTAATAGGTGCGTTTTAATCATCCGCTTCTGCTTCGGAATTGTCGGTTTTCTTGTTTTAATCTGACAGGTTAAAACGACTAAACCGACAATTCCGGAAGCAGAAGCGGATGATTAAAACGCACCTGATATTTTGCTTGCTGCTGTCAGTGTCAGTGAATATTATTTTTGAAGTCACAGTTTATTGCTAAAGAATCAGTTAGCTCACTCGGACCAGTTGAAAGTTCCAAAATAACATCCACTTCAGGGATGCAAATTCAGGATACGCAGAAGACTGCTGTTTTATTATAGGCGGTTGTCATATATTGTATTATCCGAGTTGCACAGTGTATAAACTGAAACATTAAGATTTAAAGTGCCGACGCAGAGTGAGCGATCTGATTCTTTAGCTGTAAACTGTGTCACAGGGTTCAAAATGGCCACGCCCTATGTTGGGCGTGTCAGACCTCTCTCTTGCCTCGTATAGGAATCAAAGTATGTGCTCAGATCACATACTTTGATGATTTTCTTTTACTATACGGATAATGGTCGCACTGCGCAGCTTCCTGAGTGCCTTTTAAAAGGAGATAGAAAACTCCGCCATTTTGATCCCTTTTTACGTGTTGCCTACATCTTGGCGTAATATTTTTAATAGGTGCGTTTTAATCATCCGCTTCTGCTTTGGAATTGTCGGTTTTCTTGTTTTAATCTGACAGCTTAAAACGACTAAACCGACAATTCCGGAAGCAGAAGCGGATGATTAAAACGCACATGATATTTTGCTTGCTGCTGTCAGTGTCAGTGAATATTATTTTTGGAGTCATAGTTTATTGCTAAAGAATCAGTTAGCTCTCTCGGACCAGTTCAAAGTTCCAAAATAACATCCACTCCAGGGATACAAATTCAGGATACGCAGAAGACTGCTGTTTTATTATAGGCGGTTGTCATATACTGTATTATCCGAGTTGCGCAGTGTATAAACTGGAACATTGAGATCAAAAGTGCCGACGCAGAGTGAGCGATCTGATTCTTTAGCTATAAACTGTGGCATAGGAATCAAAATGGCCGCCCCCCACATACTTTGATTTTCTTTTACTATACAGAGAATGGTCGCACTGCGCAGCTTTCTGAGTGCCTTTTAAAAGGAAATAGAAAACTCCGCCATTTTGAACCCTTATTACGTGTTGCCTACATCTTGGCGCAATATTTTTAATAGGTGCGTTTTAATCATCCGCTTCTGCTTCGGAATTGTCGGTTTTCTTGTTTTAATCTGACAGGTTAAAACGACTAAACCGACAATTCCGGAAGCAGAAGCGGATGATTAAAACGCACCTGATATTTTGCTTGCTGCTATCAGTGTTAGTGAATATTATTTTTGAGGTCACAGTTTATTGCTAAAGAATCAGTTAGCTCACTCGGACCAATTGAAAGTTCCAAAATAACATCCACTCCAGGGATATAAATTCAGGATACGCAGAAGACTTCTGTTTAATTATAGACGGTTCTCATATATTGTATTATCCGAGTTGCACAGTGTATAAACTGAAACATTGAGATCCAAAGTGCCGACGCAGAGTGAGCGATCTGATTCTTTAGCTGTAAACTGTGTCACAGGGTTCAAAATGGCCGCGCCCTATGTTGGGCGTGTCGGACCTCTCTCTTGCCTCGTATAGTAATCAAAGTATGTGGGTTGAAGGGACAGAAATATTTGACCTTGAGTTCCACCACAGAGATACTCTGAGAAAACGTAACTATTCACAGTACACGCGAACGTAGCTATTCACTGAACCTACACTGCGAAAACTATATTTCTCTTTTACAAGAATTGCGTCATATTTTATGAAAATTTGCATGAATGAATTTTAAACTATTCTTGATTTAAGTAAAATATTTTTCAATTTGTAGCAATTCCGACAGAGATTTCAAAAATGAAAATTATAAAGTTTTAAACAATAGTTTATTTTACACTGTCATAATGAACTATTAATATTGTGCCACAAATCTCACTAGTCGTTTATGATCCATAAGTATAAATCAATTGGGATAATTGTTAAAAAAATCATTAGCTAAAGCGTATTTTAGCAATTTTATAAATAAAAAAAAGGAAAAATAAAAAACGTGTATTTATACAATTGATGAGTTTACAATCTATGTATGTATTTTATTAAAATAGAATTTTTGAATGGAATTATTTTAAGATTCTTTTTTATTACATATGTAATAAGGATACTTATTATTAATAATAATTTATAAAACCAATAAACGGGATTTATTCATCACTTAATAATAATAGCAATGAACGTACATCTAGATTAACAATAAAATTAAAAATGAAATTAAAAAACAATAGTGAAACAAATATAGCATGACAATCTTTCAATGTATATTCGAAGGCTGGATTTTTCTTCTTTTTTGCAACAAACAAACGTTGCTATCTTCAGTCGCAGTCTCTGCTTTCTTGAAGTGTTTGATGATAATACACTACTTGTTTCAATTTTTGCTGTTGCACAAGGTAGAGGAACAGATGGTTGACTATGAACTTGTTCAATAGATACTACTTCTGCTGAAGTTGAAGGTAGGCACAAGTTGTCTTTGCCTTTTTGCCATGATCAACAAATTTCTTTAAAAAAAGAAAGAAAAATTTTTTTTATTAGATCAACTAGTTTTAAGAAGGTGCATCATTTGTCAGAATTAATTCCTTTTAGCCAGATGAAATTTAAAATAATTTCATAAAATGAGAATATATTTCTGTGTCTATGTCATTCTAGTCAACTGTTTAGTACAGCAGATTGAATGTTGTTAAATTATTAAATTTCAACTAGATATGCATTTAGACACCCCATTTATTGTCACAATTTTTTACCAAACTAACTGATAAAACTACTTTATTCTAATTTGCATAAGTTGTTGTATGTTGACATAGTGCAGTTTACCTCCGAGGCAGTTTTATAAAAAGGAATGTATGGGTTAATATTCTAAGATTATTAGTACTTATCATTTTATTTTTTAAACTACTAAATGTAATGTAAAAAAATAACAAGCGAGACAAGCAGCAAACTTTTTGTAACATATAACTAAAAATTTTATTTATTTACCTTGCAAAACTGTGACTCTTTTTATAGGTTCTGAGTGAGGAAATACTGATGGGAATGCATTTGCAAATAATCGTTTTCTTGCTCCTGACTGATAAACTAATTTATCCTGGAAGTGCAGTTCACAAATTTTGTAATGTTTACTTAAGTATTCAACACTCTTTCCCAATAAGTACTCTCTATTTGCTGCCTTAAGCCACAATTCAAGTCTGAAAAATACATACAATCATTGTACTATAATGTTATGGCAAGGTCAATTTCTATTTCACACTCAATGTTTCATACATACCTTACTGGATCTTTCACAAGAGTGAACGATCCTTCTTTGTCACCTGTTCTTGAGGTACATTCACGATAAATACAAGTATAGCCTTCTCCTCTTTGACGCGGCATTGTTTATAAACCTAATCTTAATACGTACAATAAAGTCTTAAACGAACACTCTACAATTAAAAACAGCAACAAAAACTAAAAATAAACCATTAACAAAACGTAAAAGTTATTAGAATATTCGCTAAAACCAACCAAAAATCAAAAACGACAAAGACGACAGGCAAAAAAATATTGACAGCGACAGCAGTGACAGCTTCGTTCATCTGCTACAAAAGTGTGCACTGTTGCACTTCGAACAAGTAACAAATCTACGATTCACTTTTGACAATGCTCCACCATAAGGAAGGTGTGGCTTTGGTTGCTAGGTTCCTGTTTTAGCCCTATGTTTCTTTTCTGTATCGTTCTTTATCCTGTGCTAATACCATCATTTGTACGGAGCCTGCTTCTGAAAGTATCCTTGTTTTGGAGATTCTGGAGGACCTCTGACATGCGGTAACATTTAATATGGTATATTGTCATTTGGCTCTGGACGTGTCCCAAAGCGTGAGATATATTATACAAGAGTCGATAAATTTTTAGATTTTATTGATTACACTATAATTATGAGAAGTCATGGACTACCGAAATTTCGTTTAAATTTTTTAACATATATAATAAGTTTATTTTTTTCTTAGAATTTATCATATTAATGTAGCAGATATATTTCATTGGGTGTGAGTCACTAAGTGGGCTTTGTGGAAATTTATAAAATTGGTTTACTATCAAATCAAATCTACGTTTCCAAACTGATGTGTTTGTACATCCATGGATGCAATAAGTTTTTTGGATAATGATATTACGAAAATAATTCGACTTTATTTAATTAATAATTACTAAACAATAAATACCGTATAAAACAGTAATAAATCCTCCCCATAAAGTTCACATTTTTCTCACCAATTGGCGTTAAAGTCAAGATGCACGGTCCCTATAAATCACAGGGAATCCATTATCCTAATAGGTTAAAGACGGCCCTGGCTTCATGTACAAGTAATTTGCTCGGAGGTAATCTTAGATAATATATGTACAGATAGACTACCCCTGCATAAATCTATATAATGTTGATGTCGCTCTAATAAAATCATTGTTTCTTTTTCTAATGGAGGCTTTCTCGCTCATATTAGAATCTTCAGCAGTAGCGTACGTAAACGGATTGCACTGAGTTATTTTAAATGTGAAAATAGTGACTGCAAATAGATAAAAAAATACAAAATAATGTTTTAAAAGATAAGTATGTTTTTATTGAACTTAAAACAAAATATGACAATATTATCATCTCAAAAAATATAATAATATTGCAAATATATTTTATTGCATCTAAAACATTTAGGATTACAGCAAGGATTTGGAATTCTATTAAAATATCTATATATATATATATATATATATATATATATATATATATATATATATATATATATATAGTTTCTTTATTTAAATTAGGTAACTAAATATTCTTATATTACTGATGATAGTTTTTATTTTAGACCATGTACAAATATACAGTATGCATCCAAAAACTAATGATATATTTTTTTCTTTCCAAATCGGCAATTTTGTACAAATTTTCTGTTATCGCACATACTTTTTCACTCATCTTAATTGTGTCATAATGTTTTATTTTTGTTTCGTAAATTTGAAGCAGTAGTTTTGGCAACAAAAAAGTCTTCGTAATGACTGATTTTCTAGAAATTTCAGTGTAAAAATACCAAAATATCTAGGCTTTCTGAAATAAGTCTTCATATACAATTTAATGTATCAGCTTAGATTAAATCCAATGTTTGGGTCAGTGGCGGTTTGCCCGTAAGGGCACTTGGACACGTGCCCTAGTATAATAAACAAAAAAAAAAATAACTTATATATTTGTTAAAAGTTTTATTTTCTCGAGCTACAAACCCTTTCACTTGCGCCCAAATTAGTTCAATAGGATTGAATTTGCAGTGATAAGGGGGAAGTCTTAGTACCATAATACCACGAACACGAGCCATTGTGTCGACAATATATTGAATATACTTATGGCGTTGTTCCTTTATTAGGTCCATTAATTCCACTTTGAGCATCTCCTCAGTAAATGTTATTGCTTTATCCCGCAGCCAGGTTTGCATATCCGCTTTCCTACTGGACATTATCGGAATGCGTTCAACTCGTCGACTGTGATAAGAAGCGTTATCTAGTACAATAATTGAATTTCGTTCTACATGCTGTAATACTTCAGTAAACCATTTTTCAAAGCATTCCGCATTCATGTCTTCGTAGTAGTCTCCTGTTTTTTTTTTTTTTTTTTTGATATAAACACAAGAGCGCTATTTTCCAAAAATCCACTGTCACTTCCGATATGGGTAACAATTAGGCGCTGTCCTTTACCTGATGGTGCTTTCAAACCTGTATATAATCCCTCTATAAAAGCTTGGCGATGACTAGTTACAGAAGTATCTTGCCATATCTTAGATACCGTGTGTCCAGCATTCACCCACGTTTCATCGAGATAGTATATCTTTTTTTAGCGGTTCTAAACTCTTTAATATTTCGTAAATAACGCCGTCGCCAGGACACTATATCTGACCTCTCAATTAAAATTGATTTCCTACACCGTTTGACAAAACGAAATTTTAGGCCCCATAAAATTTTTCGTAAAGTTTCACGGCTCATTAATGGAATTTCTTCGTTTTCTTTTAATTTCGTAAGAACAACTTTAAGTGTTGAGGCTTTGTTTTCGAAAAAAAAAAAAAAGAATGTACAGTTCTTCGAATGATTTGTTTTTGGTTATCGTCCAATTTCAACAATTTTCGACCACGGGTATGCGTTTTAGGGGCTTCTAAGTAGCCTTTTTTTGTCTTTTCGCATATAATACGTTCAATTGTTGAAACAGATACTCCAGTTAAAAAAGAACTACGGTTTAAGAGGGGTTGTAATTAAAAAAACGTTATAAATCAGAAACGAAAGGAGATATCAACGTGATTTTTTTTGGTAAAAATCAAACTCTAAAAGTGGATGATGCCTATTGATTCTGAAAAAAATTTGAATAAAAATGGGGGTTAAAATATTAAAAAAAAAATTAATTAAAAATCGAACAATATCTACTTGAAATGTTTGGCAAAAATCAAGATCTAGAAGGGGAAAAACTTATTGATTTAAAGCAAATGTAAATAAAATTGGAGTCAAGGGGGTTGAAATAACAAAAAAATAGAAATCAAAACGATATCGACAGGAAATGTTTAGTAAAAGTCAAGCTGTATAAGGAAATGAATAAATAAATAAATAAAAATGTGGAGATAAGGGGCGTTGAAATATTTAAAAACATTTTAACTCAGAAACAAAAAAATGGAAAAATGAATTTAATTTAATTTAATTTAGAAAAAATTCGATATAAGTGAAGTGATTTTATAAAATTCTATAAATAAATATATAGCAAGATTATTAACCAACTTCAAAAAACGAGGAGGTTCTGAAATTGTCTGATTATTTTTTATGTATGTTCAGAGATATTCTTGAATGAATATCTACTATTTTAAATTCTCTTATTCGTTTTATAATGCGTTCTATATGAATTCTAAGTGCGGCTATTTGTTTAGCCCTCTTTACTTCTGTTGGTGTCAACTTAGTGCCTTCTGAGACACTTGGTGGTCTAACTAATTTACCATTTGTTTTATTTCATAGTTCGTCAATGTTTTTAAAACCCCTATCAGCCATGATGTTACAATTTTCAATTTTATTTGCAAAACCACTGACATTAACCAAATTGGTATCTATTATACGACCGCCATACCCTTCAGATATGAAATTTATAAAACCATTTGGTGTACCACTTATTAAATATTTAATGGTGGTGCATTTCTTGTATTCTGACCATGATTAAAGCAATCTATAATGAATTTAACATTACTATATCTATATAAAAATCGGATAGGCAAAGAAAGTTTTATTTGTTAAAGGGTTGGGAAAAAAATGAAATTTTGTAGCACACAGGCATTTTTTGGCACAACATTTCTAAATATTTGCCGAATTTTGGAATCACTCAGACAAAAATTCACAGCTAATCTAAATTATACTTTTTTTAGACATACAAGGACAGCTCTGTAAGTTATTGTCTCAATTTCAGTGATAAATTTGGTGAGATATGGTGAACCAAAAAAAATTTTTGAGTTTTTTTCTATAAAATAAAATGTTGTTTGTCTTCGTTTCTCCATATTTTCTCCTTTTATTAAATGTTCATCTGAAGAAAAAGACATTTCTGAGGGGATGGTTGGAGAGGAATTAGTAACCACTTCGGCCAAATGGCTGACTGATGGTTTAATTAATTTAGATGAACCAGCATTACTAATTTCCTCAATTTTACGTTAAATGGACTCTCCTTGCTGTTGTACTAAAGGCCCAAGATGTTGGTATGGAATTACTCCCTCTCATCATTGGCATCGTGTTCCACCTACAAGCTGAAGATCCCTGTAGTTATTATATTATTTGGACATACAATTTTAAACATTATTATTAAAAAAAGGTAAAAATAAACAATAAAAGAGAGTACCGTTTATATTTCTTAAAAATTGTATTTGAAACTTGTTTCGTCTATAAAGGTATCATCAGGCTAGAAATAATATGTAACAATCATAAAAAGACCAAATTAAGTAAGATAATATAATTATTTTGATAGGAACCTGATATTTAATGTTTAGAAGTTTAAAAAAAGATTTAAAAAAGGGAACAGTCATATACTAGTTGAAAGTTGGAAAACAAAATTAACAGAACTAATTTACAACTCTCATCACCATAAAAGGCACAAAAACTTTATTGAGTCTTCATTAATTTCTAATGTTTATATCAAATTAATTATGTTTCAAGTTATTTTAATAAACTTAGTGTTATTTTTGTAATAAGATTCCTAGTCCAGTGATGCCTATTTAGGCGAAACTAGTAGCTACTACAAATGGGGGAGGGGGTCTAGTTTCAAAGTGTACAAACTCACCATGTACAAACTCCAAATAAGCACATTGTACAGAAACCTACAAAAACGTAAATAAATCGAA